TTTAGACTGTATTTTATTATGCTTATTCGAAGTTACACAGTATTTCACACGAATATTCTTCAGCCACTACTATGATATACAGGATGGTTCAGATGTTGATGTCAACGAAACAGGTTGAACATATTTTGTTAGCCATTCACCAGATGTGATGAGACTTGGATATTTTTTAATAACATATTTAAATCTGACGAAATTTGACTGTGTGAATTGTTGGAGAATTCAGAGTTACTTCATTATTTAAGATCTTAAGAATTGAATATTTCTAGTAATTTGGTTCAAAGGTGTAAGCTTCTCACCTTATTTATGTTCTCGACGTTTTTTTTTATCTGAAACACCCTGTATAATACGTACCAAATAAATCATAGGGGCCTTTACGTTTGATGCTGAAGAGAACACACTTTTATACGGTTTTTTACATTTTTGCGATGGCTGAAACTACGGACTGAAGCTAAATTCTATTTAAAACTGAAAAAGCCATCCGAGTACATATCAAATCATGATACTCTTTTTGATAAACTACTAGAAAGGATTTTTTCCATGTAGGTATATTTTGTTACCTACCGGTAAGAATTTTAAATAATATTCTGAGACTTGGTTTGGAAGGACTGTTGAAAACACACCTTCGTGTAGTCCTTTCAAAATTCGAGCACATCATTAAAATACTACGAATTGGTCGACAGTGTTTGAAAAAGTGAAAAGGTTGTAAACATAATTGGACAATATGACCATAACTGATATGGTATTCTGTTTAAATTTCACATATTAAGCTATTTTATTTAATCACTAGTCCATCTGGAACAATGAACGCTAAAATTATCGGTCCAAAGACCCTTCAAAATTTTATAGCATACTGACCGACTGTTTTAAACAGGCTTTGTGATTGTAAAAGAATATACATATTATAGATATTTTTATACGCACACATTGCATATTTTGTTACTTTTTGTATATGTGTGCTTTAAGTCAAGAGTAGTGGGGCAGGGACATCACTGTACAATGTGTGTTGACAAAAATCATTACTTTTGTTCAGCATTTATGGCAATTACCACTGTACCATGTTCATGCGTTGGACTATGCGAAACTCTCTGTATCGGAAGCTGCAATTCTTTAAATTTCGAAACTAATAAAAAATGGCGTCTTTCTGCAATTTTTTTTATTCTGCTCTTTCCAAGATTCTGAAGTTAGAGAATTGCACCAAAGACTGAGCAGTATCAATATTTTTAGAGTTAATGTTGATAAGCCCTTCTCTACAATAACAATCAATGAAATTTGCATCTTCTGTGTGGCCTTCTTTTCAACTTTTTGAATTTTTTCTTGCGAAAATCCAGTTTTGGCTAAGAAATATCAATATATTGACTAGAAAGATCAACATTTTTGAGTCCATCTCCAGCTATAACTTCACTTTTCCAGCACAAAAGTTAGATTTTGGTTAAAATACCTACCTCTGTCATATCTCTTGCGTAAAAATGATAATGCATAACGTTGGCATCTGTTAAGTCTTAAATAATTCGAAATGACAGGGTAAGAACTGGTCCGATTGTATGTAAACAATTTTTGATTCCACATTTTCTAAGCTCCAGTGTCCCACGAAAATATCTAAATAAAAAACATGTTTTTCTAGAGTTGTAGGACTACTACTGTTTTTCATTTTGACTTATATGTGAAAATTAAACACATTTTCCGACATAATCATAGAACTGTTGCATATTATTCATTGTATCCCTTATTTGTCTCGTCGATGTATTGTGTCTTGTTGAAAAACGTAAGAGTGCGGTAAGAATTTTTATGTTGTCATTACTGAGCAATAATTGTTAGTGAATATTCTAAACATAGATGTTAATTCTTGTACGACTTGAATACTTTCGCTTGATTATAAAGAATTAATTGGGAATGTTGAATTTATCGGACAGCCAGTGTCGCATCTTTCCCGCGACAAAATTTAATAGCATCATTGCCACAGCATATATTACACACAGCAGCGCACTCTGTGGAAATTATATTACAATTTTTATTTCTTTGACCGTGGGGCTGGAAACACGCTAAGAACATTGTCGAATGCTCCGCATAATTAACTCTTATGCTGTTACACATAGCGGTGCATTCATACTACATTCAGTATTGGCGAGAGGCACGATTTAAGTTGGCGCTGCTCAAATAAAAAAAGCGGACAGAAAGGGGTTATTTGAATTTTGTATATTCAGCTTCACACACAACGCGGATTTATAATTTTTCATAATTTTTACAATGATCATCAAAAACATATTTTCAGCCTACGCGACAAACAGTAATTGGAGACGCAAAATGTTCTGTAAGCATTTACTTATGAAAATGATATTAATACTGTTTATTACTAAATACATACACGGTAAAGTCCTATAAAAGTGTAACCACACTTTGAGCAGAACAGTAAGGAAATCTTATACAAACTTTTTTTTCAAATTTCGTTTTTTATAACCTCTACGGGTTACATTTTTCATAGACCTCCACATATTTTAAAGGGTTATAAACAATTAACCTTAATGACTATTTAATAAAATGGGTCATGTAGAACATTTTTTCCACATACTATCCTTCAAATTCACAAGATTTGCTGGATTTACAGTCACTAAAGGTTCAAAGTGAAATAATGATGGCGAAACCAATTTTATTTTTATTACTCTCGACCCCTTTTTTAGTGCTGACCCCGTTGGTGGATGGATAATTCTGGAGTATAGAAATATTTCCCGAATCTTTTACTATATATTGAAGGCTCCATAAGAAACGCGTGTAAATGTTTGAAATCAACCGTTGATTGAATTGACTTACTTCCCTCTAGTTCAAATGCTATCCGCATGGTGGCGCCTAAGTAGAGTTGCCTCTTGCCAATAGAACCAGGGTGTCCATGGCTTGATCATGCACTAAGGTCCAACTGGTATTTCAAACCGACGCTTCACGCACGCACCACGCACTGTCAGTAGCAGGGTTGTGCTACTGTGTATGTGTGTGCCTTGTTGGTGAAGGGATGCTATAATATTTAATGACTTAGCTGTGATTTTAATATCGTTTTCTGGCGTTTTGATATTTGAAAATACTCATGAAATTTTTGGGCCTAAACGTGTGCATAGATTTTTCGTAATTTGATATCAAAACGGTAAGTTCAACTTTCACCGCTCGTAGGACAAGTTGTCGCACCGCAAAAAACGAGCGTTTAGCACTACACGACACTACGTTTAGCGATGTATATAGGAAAGCGTTCGATCGAACGGGCGTTCAGCATTGTCGACGCGCGTCAAACGCGGCCCGTGTCAACAGCAAGTTGTGGTGAGTTTAACTGGCTTTTTTGCGGTGAGATAACTTGTCACCCATGTGTACGGGCAGTCAGCGCTATTTCGTGAGATCGAAACAAAATTTGCCTAATTCTCATTAGATTGTTTTGGTTTCACCTATATAGGCATTGGTATGATATTCTTGCTTCATGATTTCATTGATGTTTGTGAATTATGCTACATATTTTCGTGGAATGTTCAATTGTTTTGTATCGTTGCAGTATTTTCAGTCCTCGAAACATGACTGCTTTTGATATCCTTTCATATTATAAAAAATACTGTAAGCTAGAGGGATCTGGTCTGTCTCGCTTAAATACATTCATATTGTTCACTTTCATCAGAATGCAGCACTTACTGCGTTTATAAGTTTTCCTTGAAACAGCTTGCCAGCTGTGCATTTTACTTTCACTATAGTATATTTAGTTTTGTTTGCAGTAATTTGGTAGGTCAAAAGCAGTCTTTTCTCTTGGACTATTGATCGTAGTATGATGTAGGAATCAATTATGGAAATTGCATTTATACACTCAACTGTTTATTGGTGCGTCCAACCATATCGGTACATATTAAGTAGATGTTATACTGATTTTGATATATGTACCTGTTTTTGTATTACTGTGAAAATTTGGAGAAGTGCTCTTGAATGATGTAGGGGTCAAAGTAAAAAATAGCCATCATCGGTGCCTATTTTTTGTTTACGTCAGCTTAATATGCAAATCACATAAGTCCAGTTTTGAAGAAAATGAGATATTGGAATTTTTAGTTGATTCTATGTGACGCGCATGTCCCAAGAATTCCTCATAACTCGCAAAAAATGCGTAAGCGACATATTCGGTGTCAAGAATTCCACATAGCACTCACTCGCCCTTGCTCTGACCGACAGTAATATCACACAAGTCCATACAAGTTTAAAAGTTGAGTGTTTTGGTATGCCTTAATGAAGTCTGTGCATGTCTGTTGTTGGCGGTAGTATTTGATACCTGTGCATGTTTAGCATGGAGTAAAACTCTGATTAAGTAGGATAAGGTAACAGTACCATGTTGAATCAGGATTATATTAAATTAGATGTTGGATAGCGACTAATTGTCTTATAAACGGAAACTACGGAGTTATGCGATTTTATCGTTCGGACTTATTTGATTTGATCATCATAGATATAAAATATAAACACTTCAGACATGGGATAGTTTTTTCCATCTCCTCTAAAATCAGTGGTATGGGACTTGTGTGCTTTGCATATTAAGCCTACGTTGTGCTGATGTTGCTTTGTTTGTTTCAATATACGTTAGGTACTACTCGTGAAACGAGTGGATGCATTGAAATAAAATGTTCATCTTGACGTTTTTCGTTCTCTTTGCAGTCTGTTCACAGTAATACAACTGTTACAAAAACCGTTCCTAATCGTGTTACCGACTAAATGCCTTTTGGCAGTAATTCTTGAGAATAAATGCGTAACGTTTGACAATCTTGAAATTCTTAACTGAGCTCTCCGCGACGTAATAAATTTTTGTATTTGTGTACAATTATCATTATTATTATATAGTGATGTGCTGTGGTGACATAGTCCCAATACTGTTGTTTAGAAAATTTATTATTTATACATTTTTTATTTTTACATTATAATTTTTATGTAAAAACTGATGAATATATTATTAGTTGATAGTATTCTTTTTATAATTTGATGAAATTCTGCTATAAACAAATTTAACACGCTGTAAACTAATGAATACTGTATATAAATATTGTATTATTATATTAACTATGTATAACCTAACGTTGTAAATACACAGAATCTATTTATAAATAACGATGTCTTTGTTTCACTTAATTCTATAACCATGTTTTAGGTCTGCTGGGCGGACTCGCGAGACTTCTGACCATTCTTAGTCACCTTGCTTAACTATATATGTGGTAAAGCTGCTGCTTCTGGTGCAAAAAATATGTTAAAAACACTATACTGTATTTATACACGCTTTATTTTAAAAGATCAAATTAATACTTTCATAAATATTTACATAAATATAACAAATACAGTACAAAGTAATAGTCAGTCAGTGTTACCATGTTTACCTACTTATAGTTATTATGGAGGGCAAAATAATTTTATAATAAGTACAATATAGCAAAGGTCATTAGCTGAAAAATTGGTCAGTGAATGTGTGACTAAACAATTAAAATTCATGTTAATAAAGCAAGAACTTAAAAGCAAACAAATTTTGCAATTTATTATTGGTTAGATCTTAAATAATACTAGATATTTTTGTTGCATTCCCTAATAATGCTGAACAAGAAACGATATTTGTTATAATTCACTTTTCCCATACCCCTTGACGGTTCTTTTGAAGCAAGTCAAAAATTCCAACACAACAAGAACAACATTTAGGGCATTAAACATACCAATACGAGTCATACAAATAGTTTACCATTCCAAATTATTAGGTATAGGTTGTTTCTCCTGACACGTGTCTACGTAGCTATGTTTTCGGCCTAATTTTTTCATACATAACATTTTGATTTTTATTCTTCAAAAACTGCTTTTTCGTAAAATGAAACTGCTCTAACGCGAATTCGTATAGTTCATTTTCCATCTGCCAAACAACACTTTTCTTGATCTTCTGCATAGTCTCCTCAGAGGGTACCTCTTTTTGGACGGTTTTCCTCAAATGAGAGCGATTGCTGTTCAAAAAATGTTCAGTGGCTCCTTTGAACATTCTAGGGAGAGAACGTTCAAGAATCACAATAAAGTCCTCAAGTTCTTCTGTTACTCCAACTAGGAAATAATTTGTGACTAGGTTCTTTTTTGCTTCTTGAAGAGCCCATTTGTTACCGGGTTTCCTGTAAAAATGATTAATGATGGCAAATTTAGATATTTGAAATTATTTTAAAGTTGACTTTTAACATTCACCAAGTTAATGTAACATCCGAAACAACCTGTGGTTTTCCTGTTGATAATTCCCCATGTTTATCTGGGCTATCAAACCACATAATATGTTTAAAATCCATTATTATATGATGCTTCGGTCTCAACGGTGGTCAAAAAAAGTGTGAATTGTACTTGAAGAAGGTCACTGTTGGGATCAAACTGGCATGCAATAAAGAGAAATTTAAATATGTCGGGTTTGGTTGACCAGATAAACATGGGGGATTATTCACCTTGTTATTGTGTTGAATGAAAAGTTGTGGAACTTGAAGTGCAGTAGTCATACTTAAATATCAATGAATCGTATATTGGCGACATAGGTCTAAAATCTCTTCCAATGTTGTCGTGAAATCATTATGTTGCTTGTGAGCTTTTGTTAAATCCGAGATGATTTTGGAGAGCCTCATTTAATTCGAATCTTCACTGTAGCAACACATAGAACGAAGGTTGTTCGCAATGCCAAAGACCAGCATGATGCAAAAGTTAGACTCAGTAACATCGCAGCGCAATGGCAGTCTGTCTTTCTGGAGACTGGCCAAGCAGATCGAACTGAACTTCGCAAAGCACGATTGTGACCGATTACAAGGCTCAGGCGGAAGTGCTTTCCGAGGACTCTGCTGCCAACTACCAGTGCACGTTCCTCTAACGCCCGAGTGCTGTCGATCTTGCTCGCTTTTACCGCTATGTCAACGGGCCTTGCTCCTCAGAGCTCTCGTCCATAATACCGTTGCGCGTTGAGCCTGCCAGGTGTACCCGCCAGGCTTCTGCCCCCGTTCCCAACTCTGTCGAACTTTGTACATCCAAAGCTGGTTGGTATGACCGCTCCTTCGACCATATGGTGTTGAGATTGTGAAACAATCTGCTTACAACACTTTGTTATAATTCAGCCGTACAGACTGCGATGACTAAGTTCGTTTGGGCACTATTTTATAAGATTACATTAGTGATGAACATAATTGGTAGGTATATTGCTAAAAATTGAAAATATGTAAATGGGTGCTACCATTTGGGCTCAGTCTCTCAATACATGTAATATGCTGTAACAGCCTGTAGCTGGTCATGGTCTGTAGAAGGAAAACACTTCATCAGTAACTGATGTAAAGTCAACATTGAAGTCACCACAAACTATCAAATACCTGTTGGGAGCATAGACTGTAATTAATACCATATCTAAGCATGACAAAAGAGTATCTAAGTCCCCAATAGGAGATCCGTAGGTACAAATCAAAACATGTAATATTGTTCACATAAACTTAGAAGCATAATACTTGAAATGCTTTTCACTTTACACAATGCCTATTTTTGATGGTTCACATTTAGCATCGACTTTGGCAAATATGGAAGCGACACCTCCATGAAACTCTGTATGAAATGAAAAATTCACAGGTTGATAGCTATCCAACAAGACTGACTGGTTGCCATCAAATTTCAGCCAGCACTCGGACACACAGAATATATCACTAGATATATTCCTACACCAAAAGATTGAAAATCACATATTTTGAGCATTTCTGAATATGTCTGTAGGTACTTAAGGTTGAGCCACTGGACATGAGGCATATTTTGCTCTTAGCATTGAATTTCTGCGAAAAACAAACAATAAGATGTCAAGTGTATTTTTTGTTTATCCATCAGCCCTAAAATTAGTGTGTTAAGCAAGCTTAATGAAATAAACAGGCATGCTCATTGTTAAGCATACTTTCATGAGTTGTACCCAATACATTTTCCATTAAGATGCTTTAATATCATAATGTCAATGATTTAATATCATAATCAACCAAATTTAACTCACCAACAATTAGCAGAATGGCCACAGAAATAAGGTATCTGCAACCACATGTGGCTTGGATCACATTCTGCCAGTCTTTTGTTTACACACTCATCGAATGTCTGAAATGACAAATTCGCATACACTTGTTCAATTTTATTAATAAAACATATTACCATTGTATTGCCATGCTTTTTCCTGACCAGATAAGGTCTGAAGTTGTCACCATATCGCACAAAATAATAATAAGAAACAAATCTATCTAGTGGCCTTCTTATCAGATTTATGAACAAGGGCTTAGGAAGTCCAAACCTGAAATACATTTAGTTACCACTCAATTAAAACATTTAAATAAGTCATTATTTACAGATATTCGCTACACTTGTTTGATATAAAGTTTAATTCTTCTCATTACTATCTGAATCTGAAGGAGTTTTAGTAATTGGAGTATTTTTATAGATTTGGTTAAAAATATATAATATATAATTATAATAAAGTCTATGAGTCATATTGTTCCCTAACATGTTAATCTAGAATGATATTATAAAGTAAAATAAATATTACAAAACCTACTCCAAATGACCGAATAGATTTCCCATAAAACAACAAAAATGTTAAATTGAAATTGGTTTATTTATTTGATAGCTATAATGCAGATCCGTAAAGTTAGCCCAGAAAAATTTGAGCTTAGGTAATAGAAGAAATTGTAACGAATCAAGGTCGTATGTAGATTGCTGAATTGGTACTGTTGCGACTTGTAGAACTTCGGATTTCACTGTTTTTTCACTTGAAACTTATAGAGGGTAATCTGATAAATTATTTTACATCATAAAAAGTGTGGATGAAGCACGCTTTTCATGATTTTTTTCCCAAAACACTATTTTTTAGCAGTTATTTCCCCCACCATATGACACTGACGTCTGTGGATATGTGGCAATTCTAACTGATTATAAAAAACAAAAATTACAACAGTAGTAAAACAAAAAAAACAGTTTCATTTAATTATAAAAAAACAAAAAATAACAAACAGTAAAATAAAAAGCAATTTGGATGGAATGAAATTGTTCTTCGTTTTACTACTGTTTTTACCTTTTTTTGTGTTGTCACTTAGAATTGCTTTTTATTCAACATAAAATTGTTTTTTTTTGGTTTAATACTGTTCTTATTTTTGTTTTTTATAATCACTTAGAATTGCTTTTTATTTTGCTGCTGATCTTATTTTTTGATTTTTATAATTACTTGGAATTAGTTTTTGTTTCACTACTGTTTTTATTTTTTGTTTTTATATAATTATTTATAATTTATCATTTTTTAGCTTACTACTGATTTATACTTATTAGGAATCGCCTTTTATTTTGCTACTGTTGTTTGTTTCAGGTTTTCGTTTTTGTGATTCATTAATTAATAATACACATGTATATAAATTTTCCACTTTTCATATTTTTCCCTAAATGCGAATTCCCATCCGGCAACACCGCAGGCAAGCGTCTCATTTATGACATATGCACAGACGTCTACATCATGTAGCAGATAGATGGCAGTGGAGATAATGATGGAAAGAATAGCTAAGACTACAATGTTTTGGGAAAAATTTTTCATGAACAGCGTGCTACATCCACACTTTTTTTGTTTCTAAATAATCTATCAGACTACCCTCTAAAAGTTTCAAGGGAAAAAACAGTGAAGTCGGAAGTTCTACAAGATGCAACAGCACCAATTTTTTGTGGAAAAACGATGAAGATACGATGTGTATTGATCATTCTAAATAATCTGGGCTACATGAACTTGGCCCAGAAGTTATAAGTATTTATTATAATTTTTTTTAAACCAATGATGGAGAAACAGAAATTTTTGGTGGAAAAAAAGAGGGTAAATCGTATGACACATCGTTTTTTAACAAGCAGATTTTTCTGGGCTAACTTCACAGACCTCTATAATGCAATAAACACATACACATCACATTAAACTTATAATATTTAACACCACTCTGTTTTGTGTCTGAGGTAAAAATGGGAGAAGACCATATTGTACCTTATTTATGTATCCGTTTTCAAATGAATTGTTCGAATTAATTTTCCTACTTCATCATGCTTCACTGTTTGACATATAAATCTATAGAAAATACTTACTTCGAGAAGTCTAGGAAGGCAAAATGCCCATGAAATAGGGCTGGTCTCATAACATCCCATTTTGTTACATTTGTAACAAATTTGACTTGATTCTCTAAGGTGAGCAGATTACTATTAGCAGTTATGTTTACATGCAGCACACGAAAGTTATTCTGCTTGCACAAATCATAAGCAATTCCTACAAAACTTGTCGAGCCTGTTTTGGGAACTCGATTGTACAAAACCACTAGATTATCTGTTCCTTCGCTATACAATTCTGTTTGTGTCAATGCGTGTCTTTCTTGAAATTCTTCTAGAAAGTCGAAGTATGTAGAACTAACAAGAAATATCAAAGAAAACATTTTATTACCTAGTTTAAGGAGTCTGTCATAAAGTCTTGTTAATTGGTTCTGATAAATAATAGCAAGAAAACTTATAAAGAATATTATTGTCAGGATGTAAGCGATTTTTGAGTTTTTTAACATAACGACGATTAATTTACATCCTGAGAGTATTGCTTTTCCTAAAAACTCAGTTGAAAACAGTAATCATAACCCCATATTTTTATAATATTATTTTTGCACCACAGAACACAAACAAGTACCACGGCATTTTCGATAGGGAGCATGGAATCCAAGCTTCCATTCCAGTGCCTCGTTCGGGTTACTCGGAGCATCTCACCACCTGTCAATATCGTTCCAGGTTCCAGTGCTCTAGAGTGTCACGTACCTGAGCTACACATTTTTGAAATCTCCTGTCCCCTCATACACCAGCTTTTTATTTGGTGCTATTCGCTCCGAAATAATGGGGATAACAAAAATGTTAATGTGTTAAAATTGTTAGGTTATGTTTTTTCGTTGTTTTTGTTTTTTTGCATTAAACTCACATTAAACCGATACCGGCCAATGGAGGATGATAAACAACTGATAATGTTATGACCCAGAGTCACAACGTACACTTGAGATATTTCTGAATAATAAAGATCACAAGAGAGTGCAAGTATGCGGGTACATAGCGTCTTGTAGTTGGCTTCATCTTCATTTATAACTAGATTATGTCACTCCTCTTAATTTCTACCAATCACAAACGCGGAATTTTGAATTACAAATGGTTTCTAGATGGAAAAATTGTATGACAGTACCTGTCAGCATTTTTTCCAGTTTACCCGCGGCAACATTTGACAGCTGTTGTCACCAAAAATTGCAATACCAAGTAATTATGGCCTCCTAGGACAGCAGAAAACACCGATAAGCTAAATGTTGTAATATTATTTTTAAACAGTACTAGTCAGCATATTTATGTAGTGAAAATGAGTCGCTTTGGACGTGATTCTTTGACTTATATTGATCTGGCGATTGAGATATACCTCAGTAACGGTGGTTTGCACCGCTTTGGGTTAAAGGTGATGGTTACTTAACTCGGAGTTAGCGGTAACCCCAGGTTAAATTCGAGTAGCTTTGCACCGTCAAGGTTTATAAACCCCGACTTTTGGTCATATTGACAAACTTGGAAAATTGGGATATTTCTTAGAACCAATACATTTATTGGCTATATTGCCACAAAGGCTAGCTATGCTAAAAGTTTGTTGATTTGTGCTGGGATTTGAATGATTGACGTAAATTTTGACATTTTAGTACTTGTGTTTTGTATTCAGTTTCTTTGCTATTTTTACGATTATCATTTGTGTTTGGTTTGGCTGGATAAAATATTTTCAAATTCCCAACAGAATCACAAATATATATATATATATATATATATATATATATATACAGGGTTATCCAAATTAAGTGTCCACCATTAGTAACTTTGTTATTAGTGAAAATACAAAGTTGTTTGAATTAGCAAATTAGTAGCATTTTTAACGCTGGTAAAAATGAGAAATAAAAAAAACAATTGAGAGTCGTTATTTTGATTTTTTTCAGTAAAATAACATTTTTTTAAATGGAAACCCCTGTATATTATATTTTTTTCTGTTAAAGCATCAAATTTTAAACAAAAAAGTTCATAATGACTTTTCCGCTAAAGTCAAAAATAAAGTCAAAATAACGATAAATATTTTTAATTATTTGCAGTATTATAATATTAAGACGGCTATGAAAACAACATTATGTCAGAAATTCTGACTAATTTCTTAGACGAATTGGATCTTATAAGTAGACATCATCTGCATTTTCAGCAAGATGGCGCACCTGCCCACAACTCCAGAGGTACTTATCAATTTCTAAGTACTACTTTTAATGATCAGTGGATAGGAACAAATGGCCCAATACAGTGGCCTCCCAGATCACCAGATCTAAACCCACTTGATTACTTCTTGTGGGGTTACTTAAAGAACCAAATTTACAAGCGAAGGTACGATAACCTTGACGCGTTAAAGACTGCAGTTAGGGAAAGGATAACCCAGATAGATGGTAGGACCATACTTAAGACAGTTCGAGCAGTTGAAAAACGTGCCCAAAAATGTATTGAAGAACAAGGTGGTGTTTTCGAGCATCTTCTTTAAAAAAAATTGTTATTGTATTTTGTAAGATTATAAGTTGATGTTGAAAATAAAGTTTGTCGATACAATTTAATTGTTTCAGATTGGAGGCCATAACTTCAACAATTTGTAACCTAGGAGAAAAGTTATTGTAAGCTTTTTTGTTTAAAATTTGATGCTTTAACAGAAAAAAATATAATATACAGGGGTTTCCATTTAAAAAAATGTTATTTTACTGAAAAAAATCAAAATAACGACTCTCAATTGTTTTTTTTATTTCTCATTTTTACCAGCGTTAAAAATGCTACTAGTTTGCTAATTCAAACAACTTTGTATTTTCACTAATAACAAAGTTACTAATGGTGGACACTTAATTTGGATAACCCTGTATATATATATATATAAAGAGAATATGATCATGCGGAGAAAAGTATAGAACAACAGGTAGGAAAATAATGGGTAAAATCCGCAAAAAGGAGGAAAGTGGATTAGAGCAGAAAATAGGATAGATAACCCGAGCGATACGTATTTCTGCTGGTTGGCTTCATCAGGCCCGAAATGAATGCACATATGAAATTACAAAAGTAGATACACATGCCCACACATCCGGATACGGGTGTAACCTGAGGAAACGTGTGTCGTTTTCTTTCCCCTCCAACTTCGTTTCCCCAGGGTACACCCGTATCCGGATGTGTGGGCATGTGTATCTACTTTTGTAGTTTCATATGTGCATTCATTTCGGGCCTGATGAAGCCAACCAGCAGAAATACGTATCGCTCGGGTTACCTATCCTATTTTCTGCTCGAATCCATTTTCCTCCTTTTTGCGGATTTTACCCATTATTTTCCTACCTGTTGTTATATATATATATATAAATATATATGCGCAGCAGAAGTAGCCAGATAATACGCATGAAGATTTCCAAACAGACGACATCCAACTCGCTCAGTATTTGCAAGAGTGCATCGCCAAATAATTGAAAATGGTTTTGGAAATCCCCAAAGGGATCAAAACATAAGTGTTCGTCAGCGCAGATTTACCCGTATGATTCTGCGTGAGTTTAATAGAGATCCGACCGCAAGTGTTAGGAGAGTTTCTCGTGCCTTGGGAATTTCAGCAAGCCATGTTCACCGTGTTCTTAGAAATGACCATAGACGTCCTTACCATTTGCAACCTGTGCAAGGACTTCAGCCAGGGGACGAAGAACGAAGAATCACATTTTGTCAGTGGATTCTTGATAGAACTGATAACAACAGGGAGTTTTTAAGTAACGTTTTATGGACCGATGACTGCTTCACTAGACGTGGAGTGGTAAATTTTCATAATCAACATATTTGGTCGCATGAAAATCCGCATGCAGTTCCGGAAAGAAATTCTCAGCATGAATTTAGTGTGAACGTGTGGATTGGTAACTACCCTAATCGACTATTTGGACCCTACCTTTTACCTGAGACCTTCTTGGAATTTTTAAAGGCTGAATATGCAAATATGTGGGATGATGTTATGTTAGATTTAATTAGATTGGCCTGGTTCCAGCTTGATGGTTGTCCAGCTCATTATTCGAGAATAGTTAGAAACTGGCTGGACGAAAATTAACCAGAAAGATGGATTGGCCGTGGAGGACCAGTCGCCTGGCCTCCACGATCCCCTGACCTAAATCCATTAGATTTCTTTGTGTGGGGATTTCTAAAAGAAAAAGTGTACCAGACGCCCGTAACCACAAGAGATATGCTAATAGACAGAATCAGGAATGCATGTGATGAAATAAGGCCTTATTTGAATAATGCTATACCATGTTCTATCATTCGTAGATGTGAATTGTGTATTGAACAATTGGGTTTACATTTCGAGCAACTACTTTAGATTTTGTATGTTTGTCCTAACTATCCAATAGCATTTTAGTTGTAAATAATTAATTTAATTTGTTAAAAATAATATTGTCAACCTTACCAACAAGTTAGAAGTGTTTTCCACCACAGGTAAACCGCCTAGGAAGTCGTGGCAAATGCCACCATCAGGTGTCGTTGACAAAAAAAAACACAAATCATAAATTTATTATTTCTATTTTATGTCAAACATTATTTGTTGTGAAAAATTTTAAAACAGTTTCTAAACTTGGAAAGGCAAAGAGGAACTCGACATTTTTCACATAAAATTCGGGATCGCCCCCCACAAGTTTCCAGCTTGCACCGTTGTTCGTGACCCTTTATATGTATAGGCCAATGGCCAATATGGTCATACCTAATATCTTCAACTGGAACAACATGCTGCGATTTATGCTGTTTGATTGGTACAGGAGAGTTTCGGAGACTACTGCTGTTGCTAGTGGATGGTCTACCCCGTTTTGGTGCCGCTATCGAATAACCAGAAAATGCCAAACCCTTAGCTATGGACAAAGTGAACTGCAAGAGGTCCATTCTTGATTTTTTCATCACACCTCTGTGGTCCATCTCTTCCTGGTATTCAAGCCATGAATTACAGACTGCTAAATTGAAGTAATGAAAAATGATTCGTAACGTCCATTTTCTTGACCTCATAAATGTGCGGTATAGAGCAATAAGGAAGTCATTTTTATCCACATCACCCATGGAGAAGTTATACATACGTATAATTGCTGGTCGTTTTACCATTGTGTAAGCTTTTTGCTTCTTATCCCACCTCTTCACTTCATCTTCTGATTCAATACCTACAAAATTTGAAGCCAAATTGACCATTTTGTTATCGTACCAACGCACTATTATAACTTTATTATCAAGTGAAACCGACGAGTCACAATTTCCACGCCCTAACTTTTTGAGTTGATTTTCGGATTTGAGTGGACATTTTTCCATTCTGTTTGCACGAATAGTTCCGGCAACAAAAATGCCTTTTTCTAATAATTCTTCTAGGAGCAACAACGATGTGAAATAATTGTCACAAAACAGCTTGTGTCCTTTGTGTTCAGGAATTCTGTTGGAGAGGTGTATAACAAGTGCATTAGTAGCTGAATATGCATCTTGCAAATCAACAGGAAGTGTAGTAGAGCCCTGATATATGATAGAGCGGTATATAATGCCAGAAGCACCACATAACATAAAAACTTTCACCCCCCATGGATTGGGTTTCCCCTTCATATATTGTTTTATAGACAGTTGGCCTTTGAATGGTATTATAGACTCGTCTATACATACATTTTGTTCTCTCTCCAACTCTTCGCATCTCCTTTCAAATGAGCTGACAATTGGACGCACTTTCCAAAGTCTATCATTAGGATTTTGCTTCACAAAATTGTAATCGCCGATCAAAATCGTCTTCATTAAGTTCTTGTACCAGGTGAATTTTATACGGATGAAAACTATGAGCCTTTAGAATCCGTTGGACAGTACGTCGACTAACACCACACACAGTCTCCAATTTGCGGGTACTTAACGTAGGATCTACATAAACTTGCCCTAAAACCCCCACTTCTATTGCTTCGTTCCTTATGGGATTTTCAATGTTGCATTTTTTATTGGCGACTGACGCAGTTTCCCGAA